TTTTGCCTGAAGTTCGCGGATGATGTCCATCGTGACAGGGTCTTCCTGATAGGCTCCCACCAATGATTGAGTTACTTCATTAGATACGCCAAATTGAGAAACTAGCGCACCTAGGTAGTCTGCTCTACGGGATAGCGCGTCTGCAACCTTGTTATACTCTCCCTTCAGGTACTCAAGCTTGAAGTCATATTGGTCTATGACCTCAATCCATCGCTTGAGTGCATCAGAAAGAGCCGGTTGAGTCTTGATCCATTTGAGGGTCTGATGACCAGTCCTCAGATAGAAGAACCTTCCTAGAAGGAAGTGTCTCCAATGGACAAGTGCCTTGTAGAGAGCATAGAGTTCCCTTTCGTAGGTGGACTTAGCCAACTTCTTCGATGGCATCTTCTTACTCATGTACTCAATCGGTCTCAACTTTTTCCCATCCTGCTGAGCCAGCACTGCGCCAATGCCGTATTGGCTTGCGTCAGTGGTCATTATGAATGGCTTTTGCGGATCGGGAACCATGAGAACTTCATGATTCATGAGTGCATGCTTCAGTCTCTTGAAAGCACCCTCGCACTCATCACTCCAGTCCCACAGTGTGTCAAGTCGAGTTAGATCAGTCAAAGGAGAGGCGACTGTAGAATAGTTCTTGACGAAGTTCCTATAGTAGCCGCACATTCCTAAGAATGATCTGACCTCAGTGACTGTCTGAGGTCGTGGCCAGTCTCGAATACTAGCCACCTTCGCATCTTCCGGCCTAATTCCCTCCGCGGATACTTCATGACCCAAGTATAGTATCTTAGTGCGGCCAAACTCGCACTTCTCTAGGTTGACCTTATACTTGTGTTGTCGCAGGAGTGAGAGAGTTGTCTCAACATGCTGTGCGTGCTCCTCGGCACACTTACTAAAGATCATAATGTCGTCTAAGTAGACCACGACAAACTTATTTAAATGGTCATGGAAGATCCGATTCATAGCGTGCTGGAACGTACCTGGCGCATTACAAAGACCGAAAGGCATCACTACAAACTCATACAGACCATATCTAGTCTGAAAAGTTGTCTTGTGTTGGTCCTCAGGTCTTATTGCGATCTGGTGATATCCAAATTTCAAGTCTATCTTTGTATAGTACTTGCATCCCTGCACCCAATCCAATAGGTTGTTTATGCGAGGTAGAGGCTCTGCGTTTTTCACCGTGATGGCATTGAGGCCCCTATAATCAATGCACATCCTCAAAGTACCCCCCTTCTTCGGTACGAATAACACAGTTGATCCGTAAGGGGAAGTACTAGGCCGAATCCATCCCTTCTCTATCAGCTCCTTGAGTTGCTTCCGAAGTTCATCTAACTCGGCAGGGGCCATCCTATAGATCCTTCCCTTTGGGGTCTTACTCCCTGGAATGATTTCTATAGCGTGGACGACTTCCCTATCAACAACTCCTGAGGGCTCCTCGAACAGATCGGGGAACCTAGCAACGACACATTCTATCTCTGGGGGTGTTTATACGGCCTCCCCCTTCTCAGAGACATAAACAAGGTACATACCCTCCTCTTGGTTTTGCTTGTAATAGTTATAGAATGCTGATGCGCACAAGCAGCCATAGGTATCTACAATACTACTGGCCTTGAACTTAGTTAATCTAACAGTTCGATCATCGGGCAACTTGTATTTGAGCACCTTCTTATCCCAGTCGAACTGGGGCTCAGCAACTTCGAGGTAGTACATGCCTAACAACATATCGAATGGCAAGTCGTCGCTAACCAAGAACGAGATCTTATGGTTAAGCTCACCTCCTCCATAGGAGAAGGTACAGACTACGTCCTTGATGTAGTCTGTTACAATCATGCGCTTCTTGTTGGCCAAAGTAGATGCTACAGGTCTACTAAGGTGCCGTACCCGGTCCTATAGGTGCAGCCTTTCCAAACAGTCGCGACTTATGTAATTCCGCGTGGAGCCAATGTCTATGAAGGCACCACATTTGCGGCCTCCTACATCGACTTCCACCACGAAATGTTCCTCTCTAGGACCTTTCCTCAGTGCCAGCAAGACTCGCGAGGGTCCTTGTTTGACCACTCACTTTCTAAGTCCTCTAAGGCTTCTGACACATCTAACGTACAGAGCATAGTTTGGTCTAGTTGTGTCTGCGGGGTGACTAAGGGGTCATTAGCCTTGGCCTTGTCATGAAGTAGGGAGGGTATCATTCCTACTTCATCTTGAGTAGAAGCAGCTACTACTTCCACTGGCCTCACGTGTTTCCCGAGCTAGAAGCCTGGGAATAAGTTGCCCCAACTTTTGGCGCAACCTTTTGTGTAACCTTAGCGTTCTGACACTTCCACTGCGTGTGTCCGTATTCCCCGCAGTTGATACAAGCGCCACGCGATCGGCGGTCACGCCACACGTCTTGATCAAGACCTGCCTTAGTCCACTCAGCCTGTTTGATCTGATTGGAGACGGCCTTCCCTTGACCGCCAGACTGGCCCTTTCCTCGGCCTGCCGCCTTAGTCTTAACTACCGCGGCGAGGGTGCTACCCTCACCTATCTCCTCGCCGTCATACTCTGAGTAGTCCATCAGGTTAGAGAGCTCATCAATCTCAGTTTGAGTCCCATCAGAATGATATTCTGTGCGTGCCTCGTTGGCCAGCAAGTTCCTGATGTTCTCTGGCAAACATCTAACAAACGTTGTTAACAGGAACTGGTCACTGTAGTTGATACCTGAAACGAGGATCAGGATCTCAACGGTAGTCGTAAGCTCTCTAACTGACCCGAACTTTCGTTGGTCTAGTTTGTTAATGGCATCAGTGGCCTTTTGTGCCTCTTGTGGATTATGCCATCGAGCTTCTACCGTTTCCATGAACTGGTCTAACATTAGAGACTTAGCCCAGTCCGCCATGCGTCGCCTGTACCCGCCCTTTATCACTACACCATCTAACCATTTGGCTGCCTTACCTTCTAGGTAAGACGCCGCAGTTACCACTTCGTCCTCAGGCGACCAAATCGGGACTGTCCTCAACCATGTGTTGAGTTCTTCGTCCTTTCTCTTGCCTGAGAAGGCAAGAGGCGGTTTCATTGGGGTCTTGGGGTACCATTGACCTTGCTGCTGTCCAGATTGCTGAACAGGTTGTTGTGGTGATGTAGCAATCACCGCCGGACCCGAAGAAGAAGATGCAACAGTCTGTGCTGCTGCTGCAGACGTACCACTTGGCTGTGTGCCAGCTTGTACGGCAAAGGGACCTGACATCGCCGTTAACGGCAACGACGATTGCGCTGGTGGCCGGAATCCTGGCTTTGTCAATGCATCTAGGATCTGGTCCAAAGTGCTTTGCATGAAGTCCATCCTGTTGTCTACGTGCGCATGCAGTGACAACATGTTGTCCCTCAACACTTTCAGGGTGTCAGACAAAGTCGATTCGTCCAATCCCTGTAACGCAGCCTTGTCAGCCTCTAACGTATCAAGTCTGGCTGCTCTACTTTTTATCTCTTTTTCTCTATCGGTTGCTTTCTTCAGATCCTCCTCCAACTGCTGGCGGAGCCTCTCGACCTGCTGGATTTCTCTGAGCTCCCTCTCACGTGGGGTCAACGGGCTGAACTGCGAGCCCGCCATTTGACTAGAAGACTGTCTAGACCCTGTTGAACCGGAAGTGCCCGAGGAACTCGTGGAACTCAGTGGCATTCCCAACTGAGTACCACTAGTCCCTGACGAGGACGCAGACGATGACGCAGCAGAGCTGGTACCGTTAGCCATTGTTGTTGCTCTGGCTGTTGTTGCCCGCTCTCTTGCTACTCCGTTTGCTTCCTGTAGTCCTGCTGCTAGAGCACGGGCTCTACGTTCGGCACGAAGCTGTCTTTCTTCTCCCTCGTCCAAGGTCCTGAACACGTGCGGAACCCTTAATGCTTCCGAACGTGTAAGTCTCCTATTGTCTGCTCTATCATCAACAGGATCTGATCCACTCATTAGTTAGGCAGATAGTTTCTGCACTAGAATCCCCTCGTGGAATCCTACCACAGCATGTATCTGACCGGCACCTCGGTACCACCCACAACGCAATGCAGTGCCACCTTAGTCCAATGTCACATCAGCATGCTCTCATCATCAATCAAACATTCCGCTGTATCCCACGGCAAACCATGCCGTAATAGCCTTCCGGTGCACCCCTCTCTACCCAGGGCGTGCACCTATCAATGGCCTGACGTCACAAGTACCAACTGCGAAGAAGCATCATCAACGCACCAAGTCTGTATAACGCCAGCATGCCAAAGGTAAGTGGCGATCAAACCAGCTCTGATACCAAATTGCAAGGAACATGAGTATGGACGAAGCACAAAAATCCAGAATGCAAAATCACACTGAAGTCCAAGTATTCAAAGCGAAAGCAGATAGCACATGGAACCGAGTAACCATCCCGTTGAGAATGATACAGAAGAATCGTGAGTCAGTGTCCATGCCCAACAGGGCAACACCAACAGCATAACCCAAATGTAGCTCTCTCTTGTGAATGGCGCCAGGCGCCCTATCTACTCTACAGCCTATCNAACCATCCCATTGAGAATGATACAGAAGAATCGTGAGTCAATGTCCATGCCCAACAGGGCAACACCAACAGCATAACCCAAATGTAGCTCTCTCTTGTGAATGGTGCCAGGCACCCTATCTACTCTACAGCCTATCCTACAACTACAGCAATGAACAGCAACCAGACAACTTGACTACCAGCGARTGATGATGTCAACACCAATGCAGACCTCCTCCGTCACCAGGTACGTGTCCTCTTCCCCACACTCTCCCTTGTTACCCACACAGCGCCCTTCACTTCCGAAGTACCACCTTCGCCCTTCGCCCTTCACCCCTCTGCGCCCTCTGCAGCCCGGCTATGGCCGCCAAGCGCCCAGTGCACAGGCAGCGCCGTACCGCCTAGCGCATGCCTGCCTTGCACTACCTCTTTGCGCAGCACAGCAGCCAGCAGCTCGCATTTGCGCAGCGTGCTGGCATTGCCCGCAATGGCCAAGATCCCTGCTGCCTCGCCCTGCTTGCCTATATGCCAGTGCAGCGTGTGGGCGGCCTCCCCTTCAGCCTGTGACCGGGGCCCAGAGGCTGAAGCCAACTCGATACAGTTGGGCCCCGGGGCAAGGCAGTTGCGCCTCCTTCATCAAGGCCTGCGGCCAGATTCAGACAGTGGGCCGATTTCCCTTTGGCATTTTCGGCCTCTCTACCCAGCATGCATTGTCGGCCTCACGTTCGAGTGCCCAGGGCCTAACTAACTCAGAGGCCCTGGGCATTTCAGCATTTGCTGAAATCCGAGACTCGGTGCACTCCAACCAACTGGCGTGCTGCAACTGTATAGACCCCACTTCGTGAAATGTTGGTCGAGAGGGCTCTTGTTGATTTGCTGGCCTGCCTTCACTTAGGGCGGGCACTAGGCTTGCTGGGGCCTTAGCCCAGAACATGTACATCACGGCAAGGCCCCTACTTGAGGGCTCAATCCTCACACTACTTTGACTTTCCGGGGGAATAGGAACCGAACTGACACTGCCCAGAATGGATCTGGAGCCAGGACCATTAAATAAGTAATTAATTTAAAAAAAAAACAGGGCCTCGTGGTCCTGGCTCCAGATCCATTCTGGGGAGCTTGAGTCCGGTTCCTCTTCCACTGGCAAGTCACAACATGCATGTCATGTATGCAACACAGGATATCCATGCTTCCTTCCGTCTGGCCGAAGGATCCCCGACTGCCATTGATTACTTCACTATTGTCGAGGGTTGACCGTCAGCTTGCCTTTCCTCTAGAATTCTCTGTGTCTCAGTTTCCACGACTATGGGTTCTAATTTCTAAATTTAGCTTTAAAAAATTTCAGAGTGATGTAAGCTTGTCTCAGGAGCTTGACGGTTTCAGCCTTCCCTTCATTGCCCTGCATGGATTTCTACCAATGGGATAGCCCACATAACCTCCTCCTGTAGGCCTTCATGCATAGATGGCCTCCTAGGTCTCCTCATACTGTGATTGGCTATTCTGTCTCTTTAGGGCTGAATATACCTCCGCCTCCCAATATGATATGGTTCTTTGGGCTAAGTTGCCAGGTACCTTTTTGATTGCTCCGCTCCTGTAGTCGCCTCCGCAACGAGTCCTGTGCTCACTGTTGACTTACTTCAGTTTTGCCCGTTGTGCCACGCTTGGGCCCGCCTAGGTCAGATCCCAATTTGTCCATAGGAGCTTGTCCCTTTTTATCGTCACGATCTTACTGTTCAAAATTTCAAAAGCCATTCTTTTAAGAAGTTGCTCCTTCTAAACCCGGCCGTAACCGAGCACAGGGAACCAGCGTTGCTGGCAGTCAACATTTATGTCTGATCTCTGTCTCCACGGTCTGTCAGGAGCTAGCAACCGAGGTCGCCACCGCTCACAATACCGAATTAAGAGATTAGGGAGGGAATAGGAGATCAGACAGATTCAGACTAGAAGGAGGGATCTCGACGATGCTGTCTGCCACGCTTGTTCGAATCGTCACGGTTACACTTGGCAATGACATACCTAAGTGTGCCATAAGAGACTTCTGCATAGATACAGAATACTCGCAACCAATAGATCAGCACATCAAGCATCCAAAGAAAAATTATGAGCCACTCCATCTTTCGTGAGTTAGAAGACACAGTGAAGGCGAGTGACAAGGTTCATACAGCAAAAACAAGCAGTTCGATAGAAATCATCCACCCATAACTTCTTGAGAATTAACAACGGAAACAGGAAACATTCAGACGATAAAACCAGCAGCAGGGGGTAGAGACAGGGCAAAGCAGGTAAGGACATCGGAGGGAGGGAAGGAGGGAGGAGGAGGAGGAGGAGGAGAAGGAGGAGAAGGAGGAGAAAAAGAAAAAGAAAAAGAAAAAGAAAAAGAAAAAGAAAAAGAAAAAGAAAAAGAAAAAGAAAAAATTTAAAAAAAAGAAAAAGAAAAAGAAAAAGAAAAAGAAAAAATTTAAAAAAAAGAAAAAGAAAACGACTAAGAAGTTGGGAGGGAAGGAGCGCAAAGAAGGGAGAGAGGAAGGAAGAAAGAGAAAAAGAAAAAAAGAAGAAAAAAGTAGAGTGGAGAGGGTATGGTACGCGATGATCTCTCTTGAAGCCCAAGCGTTCAAACTGAAGAATAATACATGAAGCCCACCGTAACTTCCTCATACGGACGATCAAACCGATTACCACAAGCAGCTTCACCAGATATCCTGAACGCCTGTAAAGAAGTTGATATCGGCTGCGCCCGACATCTTTCGTCCAGCGCCGATTACTAGTCATCCTCAGGGGCGAGACACCAAGGCTCAAGATGAGGACTACCGCTCACTTAGACGAATAAATAGTTGAGCAACAGAACCGAATGAAGAGTATGAAAAGACAGAGAG